CGCGCGGCCTCTTTAGGGGACGGTTGCGCACGGCTGGCCGGCCTGCCCCCCTGCCCTGCCCTGGGGGTGGCCACGCGGCTGGGACCAGGGCAGCCCGGCCTCATAGCGGAGTGGGCTGCTGGAGGCGGGGGCAGAGGAAGAGGCCCCCCGGAGAGCAGGACCCTGGAGCTCCGCGCCACGGGAAGCGGCGGCGGCGGCGGCCAATCGGGGCAGCTCTGAAAGGGCCCGCGCAGATGCGCGCGGGCGGCGGCGGCCGCTGGCTGCTCGCCGCGCTGGCCGTGTACTCCCCGCTCGCCTGGGGGGCCTGCCTGCACGCCCGCTCGCTGGGGAGCTTGGGCCGGAGCAGGCCCTGCACCATCCGGCCGGAGGGATCCCGGGGGCAGCTGGTTGCCCGCCGGGCCTGCGGAGCGCCGGACGGCGGCCTCGGCTGTCCCAGTAGGGCTTTCCTTGTGCGCCTGTGCGAGAGCCCGGGTGGGGCGGAGAGCCCCGCGGAGCGCGGCCCTGGGCCCGCACCGAGCCCAGCGGCGGCCCATGGGAAGTGCTGGCCGATTTTGGGGCTTCACGAATGGCTTGGAGGCTGGGGCGTGCAGCGCGGCCGACATCCTAAAGCAGGGAGGCCACTGGAAGGCAGGAGGTCAGATTCGAAGCCAAGTAAATATTTGCTTTAATTAATTCATTACTTACATGTAACCTTTGAGGCCTGCGCCAGGCCCCCCCCCCCAGCCTCCTGGCTTGGGAAAAAAGGGGCCCTCTTTCCCCTATCCTGCCCCCCCCAACCCACACACACACTGCCAGGTGATTCTTGTGGCTGCGCCACAAAGGGACGGCCACATGCAGAGATTGTGCCCTCCTGCAGGCCGCCCGGGGTCCGAGCAGATCCCAGGCCCAGCGGGCCTCCTGGCCCGTGCCCCTCGGCCCTTTCCGGACTCTTGACTCCCTCCGCCGGGAAGGCCACGCCGCGCTCGGAGCAGGGGCGGAAGGTGCGCTGCACCGTGCGGCTCCCCCAGGCACTCGCTCCCGAGCCCGGAGGGCGCGGCCGAAGGAAGGCCTGGCCTGAACAATCTCCCCGTGCTCCGTGCTGTGGCGACTGGACAAGCTGCGCCAGGCAGAAGGCCCTTGCGCCTCCCCCAGCGCTTGCATCAGCATCCCACGCACCGCGCAAGGGGAGGCCGAGCGGCTCCTGCTCTTCCTCCTGCCTCGGCCTCTGCCCCCACCCCGACTGCCTCCTCCTTCTCTCCGCAGCCCCTCCTGCCTGCCTGAGCCACGCTTCCGCAAGCACTGCCTGCAGCCAGTCCCTCGCTCCTCCGCCCCGGCCCGGCCCCTGGCAGCCGTCCTGGCTCGGCCTCTCGGTTTACATGCTGCGGCACATGCGCTCGCTTGCTCCTTCGTCTCCTTCACGGAGCCGCCACACGTGTTTCCTTGCACGATGCGCTCGGCCCCCTCAGCAGCTGGAACGCCGGCGAACATTGGCTACTCGCGAATCGCTGGGGAAGCAGCTGCCGTGATCCGAGTTCGAGCCGGATCGTGCTGAGCAGGGGCATTGCTAGGCCTGGCCTCAGGGAACACGGCCTCAGATCGGATCCCCAGCGCCACTGGGTTCGACAGAAGCGCTCAGGTTAAGCACCTCGCGTGGAGGGGAAAGCGGTTCCAGCTGGTTGGGGAAAGGTTAGCTCTCCCCGTACCTCAACACCCCCCCCAAATCCCCCTCAGGTATGGCATTGAAACTTAAGGGGGGGAACCCTCCCCCTGGGGCCACTGGGAGTACCCCCCCCCCGCAGCTTAATTGCTATCGGGATTTCAGGATGTCTCAAGTGATCACAGTTGGAGGGGGAGGATTCAGGTGCCCTCCTTGCATGGGGTGCCCCCAACCCCTCCCCCCGTGGCGATTGAGCACGGGCACCCCAGAGCTGCATGGGAGCAGGTGGTTTTCCTCCAGGAGGAGCGGGACAGCGATGGGGGGAACTGAAGGTGCGTTTATCGCCAGCTGCGCATTCCAGGCCACGGAGCCTTCCTCGGGTGGCTCCAGGGCGCGGGAGGGTCCGGTCTTCCGTGTGTGCACAGGGTGTGCACGCAGCTCGGCCTGGCCTTGCGTGTTGCCCCAACAGGCGGGGCAGCACATGGAGACGAGGTCCAGCCGCGCAGCTCTGGCGGTCCTGCTGGCCTCTTCCTCTGCGGGAGCCTCTTTGCGTGCCGGAGCCTGGGGCGAAAGTGCCTCTGAAAGGCACCCAGAAGCTTCAGGGGAGGCCAGAGGGTCGCCCTTCTGCCACCGCCCCGGCCCCCACCCAGACCCCTCCCGCTCATTCCAGGCGCCCTGTTCTGCTCCACCATCCCCGGCACTCTATAGAACCACAGAATGAATACTAGAGCTGGAAGGGGCCAGGAAGGCCCTCGGGTCCACCCCCCTGCTGTTGCAGGACCCCAATCCACCCCACCCCACTCAGGTGGCTGCCCAATTCCGCCTTGAATGTCCCCAGTGTGGGAGAGCCCCCCACCTCTCCAGGCAGCTGGTCCCACTGCCATATTGCTCTGACAGTGAGTGGGGAAGCTTTTCCTGATGTCCAGCCTGAACCGGACTGGTCACAGCTTGATTCCACGTCCTGCTCTCTGGCATCAGCAGGAAGAGATCTTGACCTCCCTCTCTGTGACAGCCTTTGAGGGACTTACAGGGGGACACCGTGTCCCCCCTCAGTCTTCTCTTCTTGAGGCTGAACATGCCCAGTTCTCCCAGTCTCTCCTCACAGGGCAGTGTTTCCAAGCCCTGGATCATTTTTGGTTGCCCTCCCTGGACCCTTCCTCATTTACCTGCATCTTTCTCAAATCTTGGTGCCCAGAACTGGACACAGTATTCTAGGCAAGTTCTGACTAGCAAGGAGAATAGAGGAACTACTACTTCTCGTGATTTGGAAGTAATACTTCTATTATCGCGTCCCAAAATAGAATTTGCCCTTTTCAGCAGCTGCACCACATCGTTGGCTCATACTTAGCCTGTTGTCCACAATTACTCGCAGGTCTTTTTCTTCAGTTCTGTTGAGCCACATATTCCCCATCTTGTATCGATGCCTTTGCTTTTTCTTTCCTGGGTGGACTTGGCACTTGTCTCTCTTGAATATCATTCTGTTCCGTCAGCCCAGCGTTGAAGTTTATCAAGATCGCCTTAGATTTGCATTCTGTCTTCTAGGGTGTTTGCTATTCCACCTAGTTCTTTCCACCCAGTTCTGTATCGTCTGCAAGTTTGATTATCTTACCTTGTACTGCCTCATCCAAATCATTAAGAAAGATGTTGGAGAGCACTGGGCCCAGGACTGAGCCCTGTGGTGCCCACTGGTTCCCTCGTCCAGTTTGAGAAGGTGCCCTTGATGTTTAGCAGCTGATTTTGGATTCACCTGACAGTTCTTTCTAGTCCATTTTTTGCTAATTTTCTTACTGGGATGTCGTGGGGCACCACGTCGAAAGCTTTGCTAAAGTCGAGGTAGATTGTGTCCACAGTTCTTCTGCCATCCGTTTGGAGGGTTACCCAGTCAACAAACCCTAATCCCAACCCCTCCTGTCTCCCAGCCCTCCTTCCAGCCCCCCCGCCCCCCAGAGGCAGCCAACATGGCTAACGAGAGAGACAAGGAGGCGATTGGAGAGGAGGCCTCCTCCAGAAAGTGACAGTCTTGCCCAAATGTGGAAAACGAAAGGAGCGTGGGGCAGCCCGAGGAGCGCGTTGCTGGCAGTGCCCGGCCCCGGTCAGGTGCTCCTTGGACGGGCGGGAGCCCAAAGCCAGCTGGAGAGGCTGCTGGGCCCGCATGGCAGCTGGGCCCGACTGCGGTGCCCCGGCCCTGCATGCAGGCTGCCTGGCACGCCCCGCGCAGAGAACGCTGCACCGGACAGGCCGCCAGCCTGGCCCAGCACAGCTCTTCCCACGGCCTTGCACGAGCCGATGGGTCACGGGCACTGCAGGCATCAGGCCGGAGGGTCCCGCCCGCCTTGCTTCCTCTGCCAGCCCCGGCCAGGTGGGGGGGCGCGGGGGGGGCTTCTGCTGCGGTGCCCTTCGCTCCCTCAGATTTCCTTCCCAGAAACGCGGCGGGGGAGCCGGGAAACGCGCTCCGAAGCTGGCAGGCTCGAGGCGCCCCCCCAGCAATGGCGTGAGGTGCCCGGCGCCGCGGCGGCAGCGCTGCCCTTCCTCCCGACTTTCCACCGCGGCGCTGCCAGCGGCTTCCCGGAGCCGCCCTCGGCGCCTCCTGCCCGCGCCGCTTTCCCGCTGGCGGGCGCGGCAGGCGCTCCGGGGTCGGGCGGGGTCCCAGGGCGGCTGCGCGCCTCGTGCGCTCTTCTAGCCCTACGCGTCGCGGCGGCAGCCCCAGCCCGGACCGCCTCGCCTCCCTGAGCCGCTTCCCGCGCCTGGGACCCAGCCGCCCCGGAATCGCCCCGCCAGGAGGGTCAGCTCGGGGTGCCCCAGGCACGGGGACGGGCGCTCTGCGCAGGAACCGGGCGGCGGGCGGGCAGCTGTCCAGAGCCAGTCCCCCCAGCGGCCTGCGCAGCGCTTGGGGTCCCGGAAGGGCGGCGCGTTGCGGGGTTCCTGCGCTCCCGATCGGGCCTTCCCTCCTGCGCTCGCCTTTTCCGAAGCTCGCCCCCTCTCGCCAGCTCCGAGCCGCTGGAAGGGCCCCCAAGGCCTCCCGTGGCTCCGCCGGAGCCAGCCTCGAGAAGAGGGCGGCCACGGGCTCGGCGGCCCGAGGCGGCGGCGGCCCGCGGGGCGCCTCCGTTGGCACGCGGGTGCCGGGGCCGCGGTTGCGCGCTTCGGGGGCGCAGCGCCTGGCGGCTCCCAGTGGCCCATCTGGCTCAGGGCCCGCGGGCCGTTCGGCGTGTCAGCGCCTGGCCGCGGGGCTGCTGGCTTGAACGAGCAGCCCGAGCCCGGGAGGCGACCGGGCGCGGCTTCGCGCCTTCGCAGGGACGAGCCCCGCCCGGGCGAGCGGCGTGTGCGCGCCCGACGGGCTGCCGGGCCCCTCCGCCAGCTCTGAGCCGCGCCGTCCCTGCCGCGGCCCGGAGCGCCGCCCACCCGCCGGTCCCTGCGGCGCGCAGCACCCCGGCCCGACCGGCCCCGGCTCCTCCCGCAGCCGCGGGGTCGCGCCTGGTGAGGAGCTGCGGCGGGAAGGGCGGCCCCAGGAAGGCCAGCGCCGCGAGGGCCCCGCGCCCCTTGGCTCCCGCGCCTCGGACACGCGCCACGGCCTGGCGGGCCCTCCCCGCGGCCGGGCTCGGCCCTCCTGGGCTCCGCGAACCGGCAGCTGCTGCCCGGAGGCGCGGAGGCTCTCCTGGAGGGGGGCGGCAGTAGGCGCCCCAAAGCGCAAGGAAGGCGAGCAGTCCCCTCTGGCTGCCTCCTGCCGGCGCCCGAGCCCTGGCGGCAGCTGGTGGCCCTGGCAGCGGGGAGGGAGCGCACAGGGGAGTCGAGCCCCAGCCCCTCGCGCCCCGGGCTGCACGAGACCCCGTCGCAAGGGGTGGCTTTTCTGAGGGGCAGCCGCTTGCGCATGAGAGTGGGGCTTGCCCGGCCGGGCACCTTCCTGGCCATGTGCCAGCTCCATTCTCCCAAAGGCAGGTGGGCCTTGCCTCAGGGCTTGCGGGGCGGGGGAGGCAGTTCCGGTCAGGCCCCCTTCTGCCGACCGAGTGCACGGGCACCGCTTACTGTCCCGAGGAGCCCCCTGCGAATCCCAGCTCAGAGGCGCAAGACGCCCTGCGCCGGCACATGCATCACGGGGCCCCTCTGGCCAGCCCCCGCGGAGGCCTTGCTGCCTCCCGCCTCTGGGCCTGGCTGTCCCCTGCGCTGTGGCAGGAGCCCTGCCTGGGCCAGGGCAGAGCAGCAGCCGTCCCCCCCGGATGGCGGCTTCCCCCCAGCAAGGCTCCTGCCCTCCCGGGAGAAGGGGTGGAGGCGGCCCTGCACCTTTGGCCTCCAGCCTGGGCAGGGCCAGGCGCCCCTCCCATGGGCTCCAGAACCCACCCGTCCCCTGCTCCCGTCCAGGGCAAACTGGAAAGGTGAGCGTGGGCAGGTTGACGGCGCAGCCATGTAACCGTACCTGCCACATGAACCGCGTCTGCTTCCTCAGGAAGCCGGTGTGGGAGGATTTTGTTCAGGCAGCCGCGGGGCCAGGCAGGGAGAGGGACCCCGCAGTGACCGGCCTCTCTCTCCTCTCCAGGAGCTCTGGCGGAGCTGAAGCAGTGCCCTGAGATGCCGCACTTCGAGTTGAAATCGGGCAAGAAGCGCCCGAAAGGTGAGTGAGCCGAGCCGCGTGCCCTTCTTTCCCAGGACCTGCCGACTGCCTGGAGGCGCTGCCTGGAGCTGCCTTCCCGGAGCGGCTCCGTCCTGCTGCATCGGCCCAGGGCCTGCCGTCCTGGCCGGGCACCGGCGTGAAGGAAGTGCCTTGAGCCCGCGTCCTGGGCGAAGGGATGCGGAAGGGGAGAAACCAGCCGTGGGCGAGGCTTGGGTGGGGGATGTGGTGGGTGTTCCAGGGCATGTGATCACCCCGCCGTGATGTGGAGCACCCTCTTCTAGCAAGAAATAAGGAACTGAGCGTTGGGGCAGCACCTGGGTGTCTGCATAGGTGTACCTGGAGGGTCAGGCACTTCGGCCCCTGGATCCACTCCCCGTGAGTCAGCTGGCGGCTTGCTGGGAAGCTGGCTGCATGAGCTGGAGCTGGGCCTGGGGGCTGCCCGCTGCCCCCGTGGCTCAGCTCTGGTGCCCTCCCGGCAGAGGGGCACCGGCAGATCTTCAGCACTGCCCCCCCCCCCCCGGGGTCCTGCTTTTCAGCTCCAAACCTTGTGTGCCATCCAGAGGCTTCCCTCACTGTTCTGCCAGTTCTGCGGCTTAAGTCCACTGGAGCGGCAGCGGAGGCCTTGCTCTCGTCCGCTGTGGGTCGGTCCTCATAGCCTTTCAGGAGGGCCATCATGTACCTGCTCGCTAAACAGCCCGAGTGCCTTCCGCCTTTCCTCCTGGGGCTGTCCCCAGCCCTCCCCACTGCCCTCCTCAGTGTCGGGCTCGGGCAGAATAAAGCCCCGTCCTGCAGGTCAGAGCGCCCCATGACGGCAGTGTCCCCGGCTCCCTCCAGCTCGATGGGCTGGTGGGCAGCCGGGTGGCTCCTTTCCCATCTGCCCCTCTGGCTGGGGCTGAGCACCTGCGGAGCAGACGGCCTGCCGGGGAAGGGAACGGCTGGGCTTCTGGGGAGGAAGGACGGGCTGCCCAGCCAGGCTCCCTCCGGCTTGCCGACCTTCTCCTGGCCTTCCTGTGACTCGACCTGCTTCTGCTTTTTTCGAGGGGGAGTGGGGGGCCGGGAATTGAGCAAAGGGAGAGGAAGTTGCACAGTCTGTCTGGCCCCGAAGCAGGTGCCGGAGGACGGAAAGTTGCCTCGGCCAGGCGCTTTCTCCTCGCTGCTCAGGCACTTTCTCCTCGCTGCTCGTTCTTCCGCGGCAGACCGGCGGCAGCGCCAGCGCCGAGGCCCCTCATCAGAGAAGCCGCACGCCGGAGGCGATTCCCCTCTGCGCTGTGGTGCCAGTGCGAGTGGCGGCCGAGGCTTCCACGTGCAGGCCGCTTCCTCGGGGCGGCTCGCCTTTTGGCCGCGAGTGCCCAGAGGGCCGGCTTGTTCTTGGGGCTGCTTGGGCCACAACCGCTGGTCGGGCCGGCCAGCCCGGGAGGGGGGCCCTCGAAGGGCCACAGGGACTGCAGTGAGCTGCTCCGCCTGCGCGGGCCCCTCCACCTCGCCCCCACCGCACACGCCCTTCCCGGTTCAACACGGCCCCAGAAAAGGGCACGACGGTGCTTGCTGCCGTTTCCTTGCTGTGTCCGTGCACATGACCGTTGTGAGTCTTGTGCAAGCGCTGCCAGAGCTGGCCTGATCTGTGGCGTCCTGCCTGGAGCGGCCACTGGTGTGCTGCAGCGGCCGAAGGGAGCAGGTGACGCACCCGGGAGCTGGCCAGGCGAGAGGGCGTGGAGGCTGCTGCGCACACCGCTGCCAGGAGCGGCTGCCAAGTGGTGCTGGAGGGGGGTGAAAGGAGATGTGCGGGGGGGGGGCAGCAGAGTGAAGCCTTGCCCTGCCCGCGTTCAGCGCTGAGCCTGCGCTCCTCTGCATCCTCCGCCCTTTCAACACTTCCTGGAATCTACAGCTGCTCAGGAAAGGGGAGGTCTTGCGGTGCCCGCGAGCTTTGCAAGTGCTGCGTTTCCGGCAGTTCCCTGGCGGGTCCAAAAGCTTCCCAGAGAAGGTGGCAAATGGGACAGAGTGAGTAGAGCCCTGGGGGGGGGGGGCCCTCCAAGTGCTGCCCCCACAATCGCTCGGCCACCTGTAAGGCTCTCCGGAAAATCCGTTAGGAATATCTGCACATTTTGGGGGGTTGGTGGGAAAGACACACAAATCTAATCGCCAAGAAGTAAATGGAGGGGGCGCGTGCAAATGGGGGCGGGGGGGAAACGGAAACGGATGCACTTGCAGGCCCCGCTCTGTCCCTGCGGGCGCCCACTTTCCCCTCCATTTACCTTTGTTGTTGTTGTTAGTTGCGACCCCATGGACAACACTCCTCCAGGCCTTCCTGTCCTCCTCTGTCCCCCGGAGCCCACCCAAGCTCACACCCACTGCCCCAGTGACCCCATCCAGCCACCTCATCCTCTGCTGCCCCCTCCTTCTTTTGCCATCTACTGTTCCCAGCATGAGGCTCTTCTCCAGGGAGTCCTTCCTTCTCATTAGGTGGCCGAAGTATTTGAGTTTCATCTCCAGTGTATGGCCTTCTGAAGAGCAGTCAGGGTTGATCTCCTCTAGGACTGACCAGTTTGATCGCCTTGTGGTCGAAGGGACTCGCAGGAGTCTCCTCCAGCACCACAATTCAGAGGCCTCAATCCTTCGGCGCCCAGCCTTCCTTATGGTCCAGCTTTCACAGCCATACATTGCAACTGGGAAAACCATGGTCTTGACTATACGCACGTTTGTCCACAGGGTGATGTCTCTGCTTCTTAGTCTGCTGTCTAGATTTGCCATGGCTTTCCTCCCCTGGAGCAAGCGTCTTTTAATTTCTTGGCTTCAGTCCCCTTCTGCGGTGATCTTGGAGCCCAGGAAAATAAAATCTGTCACTGTCTCCATTTCTCCCCCATCTATCTGCCAGGAAGTGAGAGGACCGAATGCCATGATCTTAGTTTTCTTCATGTTGAGTTACAAGCCAACTTTTGCACTCTCCTCCTTCACCCGCATCAAGAGGCTCTTTAGTTCCTCTTCACTTTCTGCCATGAGAGTGGTATCATCTGCATATCTGCGGTTGTTGATATTTCTCCCAGCAATCTTAATTCCAACTGGTGATTCATCCAGCCCCGCCTTTCTCATGATGTGCTCTGCATATAAGTTAAATAGGCAGGGCGACAGTATACAGCCTTGCCAAACTCCTTTCTCAATTTTGAACCAATCAGTGGTTCCATGTCCAGTTCTCACTGTTGCTTCTTGACCCGCATACAGGTTTCTCAAGAGACAAATAAGATGGTCTGGTACCCCCATCTCTTTAAGGACTTGCCACAATTTGTTGTGATCCACACAATCAAAGGCTTTAGCATAGTCAATGAAGCAGAAGCAGATGTTTTTCTGGAACTCCCTAGCTTTCTCCATGATCCAGCGTATGTTGGCAATTTGATCTCTAGTTCCTCTCCCTGTCGGAAATCCTGCCTGTACCTCTGGTAGTTCTCGGTCCACATACTGCTGGAGCCTAGCTTGTGGGATTTTGAGCATCACTTTGCTAGCATGTGAAATGAGTGCAATGGTGCGGTAGTTTGAACATTCTTTGGCATTGCCCTTCTTTGGGATGGGAATGTAAACTGACCTTTTCCAATCCTGTGGCCACTATTGTGTTGTGTAAAGCTTCCTCAGACAGCCATTTTGCTTTCTTGCATTTCTTTTTCTTTGGGATGGTTTTAGTTGCTGCCTCTTGTACAATGTTGCAAACCTCCGTCCATAGTTCTTCAGGCACTCTGTCTGTCAGATCTAATTCCTTAAATCTATTTGTCACCTCTACTGTATATTCATCAGGGATATGATTTAGGTCATACCTGAGAGGCCTACTGCGTTTCCCTACTTTCTTCAATTTAAGCCTAAATTTTGCAACAAGAAGCTCATGATCTGAGCCTCAGTCGGCTCCTGGCCTTGTTTTTACTGACTGTATAGAGCTTCTCCATCTTTGGCCGCAGAGCACATAGTCAATCTGATTTCTGTGTCGACCATCTGGTGATGTCCATGTGTAGAGCCGTCTCTTGGGTTGTTGGAAAAGAGTGTTTGCTATGACCATTGTATTCTCTTGACAAAATTCTGCCAGCCCGTGTCCTGCTTCATTTTGTACTCCAAGGCCAAACTTGCCTGTTATTCCGGTTATCTTGTGACTTCCTACTTTAGCATTTCAGTCCCCCATGATGATACGGACATCATTTTTGGTGTTAATTCTAGAAGGTGTTGCAGGCCTTCATAGAACCGGGCAACTTCAGCCTCTTCAGCACCAGTGCTTGGGGCACAGACTGGGACTATTGTGATGTTGAATGGTTTGCCTTGCATGCGAACTGAGATCATTCTGTCATTTTGGAGACTGGATCCCAGCACTGCTTTTCCTACTCTTATGTTGACTATAAGGACAGCCCCGGTGCAGGTGGGTCCCACCTCAATGGCTTTTGTGCCCGTGAGCTCGGGGTCACTTTGCGTCACTGGGTGGGCAGCGTTGCAGCCCAGAATGAAGGGCTCCTTTCTGCCCGGCTGGGTGCGGGCAGCCTCCCTCCTCCTCCTCCTCCTCCCCCCCCCCATCTGCTGCCTCCAACTGCCACCAACGGACTTCCCTTCCATGCCCCGGCTGCAGCGCTCGCTCGGCCTCCCCGGCCCGCTCCCGCCCTCCTGCAGCCTCCCCAGTGTGGGCCTGCCGCTCTCCCGCTGCCCCAGCGCCGGCCTGCGGCTGAGCCGGGGAGGCTGCTTGCCACGAAGGGAGGCCTGGCACTGGCACGGCCACGCCTGCAGCTGCCCGCCCGGAAGGCCTGAAATCCGGTACAGCGAGGGAAAGATGGAAGGGGCCGAGGGGGACGTGGGGGTGCCAGAGAGGAAGGGGGTCCCTTCTGGGCGTTTGCTAACGACCCCTGCTTGGGGCGAGAGGGGGCGGGACGGAAGGAAGCCGCCCCGAGCCCCGACTCCCAGCCCGAGGCGAGGCCGACCGATTCCGCGGTGCCTCCCTGGTTCCGTGGCCGGGTCTGCCCTTGGAAGCGGCTGCACCGTGT